GTGTGAGTGTGAGTGTGTGTGTGTGTGTGTGTGTGTGTGTGTTGCGCACGTGTGTGTGTGTGCGTATGTGTGTATTTTTGTGTGTGTGACTTTAAAATGCCTATGTACTAAATATGCACACTGACCCAGACACTTTCGTTTTTTGTCATTTCCTTCAGAGAGCCACTCATGTCCTCATCCATCCCTGGAGAACAAGATTATCGTCAAGCCTGTTCACCTTCATCTGTGACCCATTTATTTATCGGTCAACCATATTATGATATCTGTTTAAAATCAATGCATTCTATTTCCCCAATCAGTACAGAAACACTTTTGGCGCCTTGTTGAGAGAATGTGAGTCGAGTGTGTTTCCACTTTCACGCTCTCGTCTCAAAAGGCTGACAAAATGTTTTCGAGCAAATTTCACCCAACGCCGAATAAAGTGAAAATTGTAAAAGCTTTTTGCAGAAGATCTCAATTTTTTGGTGTAATGTTGGAAGTACCTTCTTTCTCACTCGCACAAAAAAAAAAGCCTGCGCTATTAACCTGATTATGTTGTCTCCATTTAGGAACAATGCTCCTGGGCCATTCCCTCTCAGCCCACGTTGCCTTTGACAAGCAATATTGGAAGCGGGCTTCTTAAATGATCTAAGTTTTTTCGAACGGGGCGAAAAAACACCTACCATAAAAAACAAAACAGTCGATGAAACGACTATTATTCGCTGGGCCATAAGTACCTGGCAGACATCCAGACGTAAGCAGATAGCAGACAGATGTGTACAGTCAATGCGCCAGGAATGTTAGACGGACGGAGAGTGAACCGGTGTTGTTAACTGTGGATCAACGGACGCACAGCCCAGCCGCAGGACCTGTGGACAACAATAAAACAAATAAACAGAGGTAAGAAAAACGACGGTTTTATGGTTCGCTTGAGACGCTACACTCAGTGTGTGTTTAGTTTATCTCCCAGCCTGCTTTGCGGCGGAGCTCTCAAGGGGTGCATACCAATCAGTCGGATGTCCTTGTGAGAAAGGAAATTCAACATTTTAAGACGTCTCTTGAAAAGACACGACATTTCATTTCAGATCTTGTGTTTCTTTTCCTGCCTGAAGTGGAGCAGAGACACTGGGAGATTGCACTGAGGACATAACAAGACAAGATAGGTCTAGATCTTTCGCACTGAATGTTCAGTCAACAAAAAAGAGTGGACATTTCTGTTTCTCTTACAGAGGTGAGTTTTTTCTAAAGTAGAAAATGATGAATTCGACGAGCTTACACTGAAATGTGGGGGCAGGGCGGAGTCGCTGTCTCAAAATGAGCAATTTGGTTTCAATATTACAGTAGATCATTTATTTTAGTGATCTTGTGTTTGCTTACAAAGAGCGGCTTTTAATATAGGGCTCAAAGAGAATATCATTTGGTTAATTACTGGGTCAAGCTTATTGGAAAAAATATATTCTTGTTTGGTCGCTGGCCTGCAGAAGTGCCATGCAAAGTTTCGTGGACATAATATGTGAATTCCTAAATGAGCTAGAATTTTTTTAAGCCGGCAGACGAAAGTGAACAAGCTATTCTACTTGGTAGAGGACAACATTTAATGTGAAGTGAAGCGAGACGTCCTTTGCAGGAAAGTGCTTGAACAGGGTAAGTTGCCCTGACACTGTCTATGGGAACCGGTTCTAACCGTTTCATGTTATTTTGTTTTGTTTTTACTTTTGGGTTGTTTTTGCATGTTTTTGTTTTGTTGTGGATTTGTTTTGTTGATGTTTTAGTTTTATTTTATTTTTTTAAGTGGCGTCCAAAATATTATCCAATTCATAAATCAACCTCTAAAGGTTTCTTTTATATCGCATGATATCAGGAAAGAGTCAAACTTGTTATGCCTGTACTTGGCGTAGCGGGCACTAGGGGGTTAATTCAAACATTGACCCCTGAAGTGGGCAGGGAGAAAACTCTTTGTTTTATTGTCCAGGGATGTTGTGTGTTGGTGTAGCGAGGAGGTAGATTGGTCAATGATCTCTGGCCTTGGACGGTCGCCAGGTGGTGAGGTCAGCTGCTGTTTCCAAGTGGCCGGCTGTACGGACGGATAGCCTAACCGTCTAACTGTACGGACGGCTAGCCTAACCGTCTAACTGTATGGGCGGCTAGCCTAACCGTCTAACTGTACGGACGGCTAGCCTAACCGTCTAACTGTACGGGCGGCTAGCCTAACCGTCTAACTGTACGGGCGGCTAGCCTAACCGTCTAACTGTACGGACATATAGCCTAACCGTCTAACTGTACGGGCGGCTAAACTAACCGTCTAACTATACGGGCGGCTAGCCTAACCGTTTAACTGTACTGATGGTCGCCTAACCGTCTAACTGTACGGGCGGATAGCCTAACCGTTTAACTGTACTGATGGTCACCTAACCGCCTAACTGTACGGGCGGATAGCCTAACCGTCTAACTGTACGGGCGGCTGGCCTAACCGTCTAACTGTACGGACGGCTGGCCTAACCGTCTAACTGTAGGTTTAAAGGCCCCATTGACCGAAACCTGTTGAATACCCAGGTCTCATTGAATCTAGTAATTATTCAGGTTTAAAATACATGCATGTCAGTAAGGCACCTTTCAGTTTAGTCGTAAATACTGAATACTTAAGGTTTTGCAAACTAAAATTTTATTTACAATTCAGCCATCTTTATTAAGTACGGCTAGCCTGCCAGTCTAGCCGTACTTAAGTTAGGCCTTAGGCTTTCTCAGTGTCTAGGTTAGGCCCTATTGATCGAAACCTTTGGAGAACACAGATCTCATTAGTAATTATTCAGGTTTAAAAAACAACGCGCTGTCAGTAAGGCACCTTTTGGTTTCGTCTCAAATACTAAATGCTTTTTAGGTAGATCTATTGCAAACTAAAATTGTATTTACAAATCAGTAGGCCTATGGTCTATTTTTTTTTCTTTTTGTCAGTCTTGCCATCATCATTAGGTACGGCGAGCCTTGCACTAGCCGTCATTAAGTGCGGCTAGCCCCTCCCTTTCTGTGTTCATGTCCGAGGGCACTCTGCCAATCGAATTCTTTTGATTCGCTCGAGTCAACTATTTGAGTTTCCCCTTCATGATGTGGCAAGAAGTTAAATGTTGATACACTTTCCATCGAATTTGACTAAATTCGACAGCGACCTTCAATATCAATTTCTTTCTTTAGTTTTAGCAAACGTTTTACGGCACTTGCACGTATGTCTTGAATTGCCGAAGGCATTAGAGAGTAACACACTCGCACACAAAAAAGAAAAGAAAGGGTACTCAAATCATATCAGATCACTTACCAAGCACCCACTAGCCATTTTTGATAATATCTAATATCTCATCTAAATCAACTGAAGTTTCCACCATGACCAGAACAAACAGAAGGAGCGCTCAAGTTGCGGTATATAATGTATTGTATTGACTTTGCCAAACAAGAAAATCGTCCTGCTGGGAATGGACAGGCCTCGGTTAAATGATATTCATATATTGCGTCTTTCAGAAGTTATCTTTGAGCTCTTGCTGACGCCCAAGCACAGCAAGGGGAACACACTCAAACAAAACTAACCACAGTTTTCATTCTTTCTGACAGACGAGCCGCAAGTTCTCAACTGGCGTGTGAGACAGCAAAAAGAACACGATTTTGGGGTTGATTTCCTGGCTCTCGTTGAGATAGATAGAAGACTATGGAGAAACTGGATCTGACTGGTCGTGTTGCTATCGTCACTGGTATGTGGCACAGAAATATGAATAATTTATTATCTTTCTTCCATAATGGGAGGACTTCCGTAACGAGCGACCACTGTGAAACAGAGTAGAATAGAGGGTTTGGGTGAGGGTTAGGGTTTGGGGTAGGGTTAAGGTTTGGTGTAGGAGTAAGGGTAAGGGTATGGGTTAGGGGTTGGGCCAGGGTTTCGGGGTGGTTGCTCGTAACGGAAGTCCTTCCACGGTTGCGAGCTTCCGCTGCACATTTTGCTATACCCAGGAGACCAGTCTATGTTTTTCTGTTGTCCGCCCATCTTGCTATACCCAGGAGACCAGTCCACGTTTTGATGTTGTCCGCCCATCTTGCTATACCCAGGAGACCAGTCCACGTTTTGATGTTGTCCGCCCATCTTGCTATACCCAGGAGACCAGTCCACGTTTTGATGTTGTCCGCCCATCTTGCTATACCCAGGAGACCAGTCCACGTTTTGATGTTGTCCGCCCATGTTGCTATTTGTCTCCCCCTGGCTCTCCCGCCCCATGTCCTTCCTTCAGGCACCTCTTTCACATTTGTCTGGTGTAGTTTAAAGTGACCAAAGTAAATTGTATTGCAATTTTTAAAAAAGAAAATGTTTCCCACAGATGAAAACGTATATCAGATATTAAAAATACATCTAAAAAAGAGGAAAATGTCTCTATAAAGAGGAAAATGTATATGAAATATAAAAACATGTCTTTCTGTCTGAAAACCTGCATTTTAAAAAAAGGACACAAAACAACAACAACAACAACAACAACAACAACAACAACAACAACAACAACAACAACAACAACAACAACAACAACAACTCAACTTATTGTAATGTTGTTGTTTTTTCTTTTGCAACAACGACAACAACAACAACTCAACTTATTGTAATGTTGTTGTTTTTTCTTTTGCATGAAAATGTACTAACATACATACGACCTTAAGCAGTGAGAAATGGAATAATTTCTAGCGCCGTAAAACTTTCCCCTGAATTACCGGCCGTGTGTCCCTTAATCCCAGGCAGCTCCTCTGGCATCGGCCTGGCCACGGCTGTGTTGTTTGTCAAACGGGGGGCAAAGGTCACGCTACATGGCCGGAACCTGGAGAAACTGTCGGCGGCCGCCAAGGTCCTCAGGGAGGCGGGAGCCAAGGAGGGTCACGTGAGTTTGGGGCGGACACATTTCCATGAAGAAAGCGTATTCTGCCGTGATCTGATCAAACGCATTTCTCTTATTTGTTTATTTGTCTTTTGCTCAAATTCGAGGAAATTTGGTTTATGTCATGGTAAATGAGATATATCTTCATGTGGGATAGTCAAACAAAAACAACATTGATATGTTTGTTGAATTAGCAAATAAAACTAAATCACGATTATCTCGAAACCTTGATTTTGAGAAAATTGCGATTTATCAGATTACGACAGTACTGCCGTTTTGTTTTAAACAAGTTTTTAAAAGTTATGTTTTGCTTTCTTTTGTTTGTTCGCTTGTTAATTTTTTTTTCTTTTGTTAGAGCGTAAGATGAAAACGGTGTCTGTGGTCTAGTGGGTATTCGCTGTGTCGTCTCACACACACAAAAGACCTGAGTTCAGTTCTCATGAGTTACGACCCGGCCCGGCTAAAACTGAGCAAGCGGCTTTCCAGCCGACCCGTCTTTTGTCGGAGCGTGTCGTGTTGTGTCTGTTGACACAGCCAAACGGACTTTTCACAGATTTCTTCGGAAATAATCGGTACTCCATTTCAACTACCGACTTTCCGAAAGACGGACGGAATCGGGTCGGTTGGTGTCCGTCGGAGTGGACACGGACCCTACCTCGATCTTTCTGCTTGGACATTTTATCGCTCTCCTCCCGAGTTGGCCCTGACAGGCAGGGTCGTTGAAGCCCACCTCCTAAAATGATCTAAATTATGTCGATGGAGATGTAAGAAAAACAACAACAATGCTACATTGAAAAGAAAAGGATGTAATACCCTTCTTGTCACAAATGTGCACTGACTTTTAAATACAACAATGTCAACAAATTCTGAGGCGGGCTGACAAAATGAGTTACTTCTCGCAATCCATAAATATATTATATATATATATTATTATAAATAGATATTGGCAAAAAATCTAGTCTTGGGTCAAATTTGTAGATTTTCTATTGATGCCGTATAATAATTATGTAATTTAATATTTCATACCTATAAATTGTTAAAACTTCATCCATAAGCGTGATGTATCTCTTTCCGTATGACTTAAATCTGAGAAGTAACTCATTTGTCAGCATGCTTCACAATAATACATAAAATGTCGTGTGTCCGCCAGTACCTGACTGTGGCTGGTGACGTCACAGAGCCGGCCAGCCGCGAGTCCCTGGTGCAACAGACGGTGGGCAAGTTTGGCCGCATCGATATTCTGGTGAGTACTATACTGAGTTGTTGTTTAGTTTTAGTAGAGGTTTTACGGCGCTCGCAACTGCACAAGGTCTTATGAGCGCCAGAAGATTAGAGGTGTTACAAGAGAGTAACAAACATAAAAAAAGAAGAAGGGGAGATAAGGACGATAGATGTTTGATAGGAAAGAAGAAGCAAACCACAGCAGAGCACCCGCCAACTACCCGCCCGGAGTTGTTGAGGTGGTTTAGTTTGAGATCATCAAGTAACAGTTTTACGGCACTTGCAACATATCATCATCATCCAGTGCCAGATCTGCCACAGACATCGGCGATCATGGTTTTCCATTCGTTCCTTTGCTCGGATGCTCTAAAAAAAGCTACGTTTCGCTGATCTTTTCCTGTTACCCATTTGTTTAGGTTCCCTAAGTATGTTGTTCTGGGCCTACCCCTGCCTCGCTTGCCCTCAATTTTGCCAGTGAGAGCTAGATGTTCAAGACCCTCATGTCTATTCAGGTGTCCCAAAAACTGCATTTGTCGTTTCCTGATTGTTTTTAACACAAACAGGTCATAATATGGTCGCTTTTAAGGACAAACGAGCTAACCCAGATTTCGGGAGTTTCCAGAAATCTTGATCTACATCAAAAGTGAGCATTACCGTACCTATAGAGAGTTTCATTGGTGTGTATATTTGTTTGTTTATAGAGAAATCTCTCCTTGTCTTTTGAAGAAACTGAACAAGGGGCAAAACGTTTACCTTTGATTTTCTATAAACAGCTTTTTTCGGGATAGCCCACTAGTGCTGTTGAGGCTAGAGAGGTGAACAGAGTAAGCCTGATTCCCAGTTTGGACTTCTCTGTTGACATCCACCTCTTGACGCTCCTATTGCATGACCTTATGCAGTTGCGAGTGCGTAAAACCTTACTAAAACTACAACTAAAACAAAACAAACAAATGTATGCCAGTCTCTATTCTCTACATGTATTGATGCGCGACACTTAAGAATTTTTTAACCTGTTGGTAAACCGATCTGTTCAGCTCAAACTATTCTCCCCCCCCCCCCCCCCTCTTTCTTTTTCCGTTATGGGTTGCTATTCATTTGTTTTTAACCCCCCCCCCCTCCTCCCGCGCCTCCTTTTTCGGTTATTAGTTTCTTTGTTTTGTTGTTTTTTTCCCAGGTGAACAATGCCGGGTGTGGGAGTAGAGCGTTTCTGCGTGACGTCACGGAGGAAGAGATCGACGGGATGGTGAACCAACACTTCAAGGCTCCGGTGTTCCTGTGTCAGCTCTGCCTGCCCTACCTCATCAAGAGCAAAGGTTCGAGTCCTCCACTTTAAGTACATGTGTATTTTGTTTGGGATTAGCAGAAAGTAAACTTCATCAGCCAGATGTTAAAATGTACTAAACCAACTATTTTTAAAATCTTTTTTATTAAAAAACAAAACAAATTGAAGTATCTAAATCACTGTGTGTGTGTGTGGGGGGGGGGGGGGTTGGTTGAATGTGCTCAAGAAATATTTTGTTGAAATTTTAAAATTCTAATATTGACAAAGGCAAGAAAAATGGTCGCTTGCACAAGGGGGCTATCCTGAACAATGCTGTTTTGAGAAAATCGAAGGTAAAGTTTTTGCGCCTTGTTCAGTTTCTTTTAAAGACAAGGAGAGTTTTCTCTATAACCAAACAAATATACACACCTTTGAAACCAAACTTCTCCTACAGATAGGACAATGCTCACTTTTGGTGTCAGTAAAGTTTTCTGGAAATACTTTACGTACGTGCATTTTTTTAAAAAGTGAAACAGTTTTCTTCCTATTATATTTATATTTGAACGGTTGTGAACGCTGTCTGTTTTCATCAATGCTGTTTGTCTGTCAGTTAGTGGGAGAGTCTGGTGTGTGGGAGGGGGGGGTGGTGGAGGGGTGGGGGGAGGTGTTCTGGCGAGGTCTCATTTTTTTCCTTCTTTCTTTTTGATGTAGGTGTTTTTGCGTCCCCGTCGACACAGTTTGGTGAGGTGTGCGGAGAAATTTAATGAGTTACTTCCAGATTGTCAGCCCTGTAGAAATAGCTACCTTAAATCTATAAGCAGAGTTTGCACAACTTATAAGAATGAAATAGTTAAAGACATTACGTTATACGTGAAGAAAATTGCATCAATTAAAAATCTACAAATCTGACTACAGTGTCCATGTTTGGTCGATATCTACATTCGAGGATTGGGTGAAATAATTTGTCAGCGTGACCCACTTTTGTATTGCAAGTGCCGTAAAACATTGGTTGCTTTTAAGCACAAGGGGTCGATCCCGCAAAATGTTCTTTAGAGAAAATTGAAGGTAAAGTTTTTGCCCCTTGTTCAGTTTCTTTAAAACTCAAGGAGAGTTTTCTCTATAACCAAACAAATATACACACCAATGAAACCAAACTTCTCCTATAGGTAGAGCAATGGCCACTTTTGGTGTAGGTCAAGATTTCTGGAAACCCCCGAAATTTGGGTTAGATCTAGTCCGCTTGTCCTTAAAAGGGACCAGTCAAAACTAACACTTTGTCGTGTGTGTCTCACCTGCAGGGAACATTGTGAACGTGAGCTCTTGTGTGGCAGTGGAGGCGGTGAGTAACTGTTGCTGACGTCTCTTTGATTAACCCTATAATCCGTACGTCGTGTTTTACTATCGTATCCATACGACGTGGGGAACTCTGTGCCACCACTTAACCCTATCCGTACGCCGTGTTTTACTATCGTATCCATATGACGTGGGGAACTCTGTGTCACCACTTAACCCTATCCGTACGTCATGTTTTACTATCGTATCCATACGACGTGAGGAACTCTGTGCCACCACTTTCCAAAGAGGAAAACTACTCGTTAATCTGATCCGTACGCTTTGCATAGCAGTCTGTCCAAATATATTTTTTTGGAGAAATACTGAAAATTTCAAAGAGATCTTCACACTAAAATTGTTCTAAAATGTGAAGAATACAACCTTGGGGGATACAAAATGACCCCAGGGCGTACGGATGGGTTGAATGTAGAATTTTTAAAACTCCCCTATCGACACATTTTCGATCATTTAGGACGTGGGCTTCTTTCTTAGCCTGTCTGTCAGAGCCAACATGTAGTGACCGGACGGAGAGAAATTCGAAATCCCACCACAAAGACTGAGGTCCTATCTTCTAGAACTTCTACTCCTTTTCTTTCTATGTAATCCCTTAGTACATGTAATAGTAACGTCTCTAATCTTCGACACTTAGTCCTACTTGACTTATACGTTTCTGTTGTAAGTGCCGTAAAACGACGTCGTGTTTTACTATCGTATCCATACGACGTGGGGAACTCTGTGCCACCACTTTCTAAAAAGGAAATTTACTCGTTAATCCGATCCGTACGCTTGGCACGGCAGTCTGTCAAAATGATTTTCTGAGAAATACTGAAAATTTCAAAGAGATCTTCGTACTAGAAGTATTCTAAAATGTGAAGAATACAACCCCAGGGGTACAAAATGACCCCAGGGCGTACAGATAGGGTTAAGAAAAAACTAAAAACGCCTCAACTACATTACAGTTTTCTGGGTCGTTAGTCAACAGGGGCCCGGGAGAGGGAGAGGGGCACAGAGAGAGGGAGACGGAGAGACAGAGAAAGGCAGAGATGGAGAGCTAGAGGCATGAGAGAGAGA